AACAGCATGGTGATTACTGGAGGGAAAGGGGGTTGGGGAGAGATAGAAGAGGGTGTAGGGGAATAATTGGTGATGGAAAGAGATTTGACTTGGGGTGGTGAACACACAGTACAATATACATTTGATGTGGTATAGAATTGTACACCTGAAACCTATATAAACCTATATAATAAATTTTATTAACCAATGTCACCCCAATAAATTTAGTAAAAAATAAATCAATATAAAGTTTCTAGAGCACTCATGACACATATGTATGCAATACTTATTAGTTTTATTTAAAATGTCGACTTAATGATAATTATTTTTCACTAAAAGTAGATATCTAGAGAATTTTAAAAATTGTTTAAAATTCTAAATACTAAAAGTTGTATAAGTAATTTTAAATGATAGAATTGACTTTATTATAACTTAAAAAGGCATTTCTTTTAGCTCATGAAGCCCTACAATCTGGGTCTGTTTTTATTTATATTTCTAATAAGGCATTAAAATATCTGGTAATTAAAAAAAATCTACTTATGGAAAGAACATGACTAAAAGGAAAAGTCTTTTATATACAAATAAAAATTTCTCATGAATTAGTCTTTGAGCTGTTGAAGTTTTTAGTAGATTGTAGGTGCCATTTAATTAAGCTTCTCTCAATATTTTTAGATTTTGGTAATGATGATACTGAACATGCTTTAGACTCATTTATTTAATAGTTGAGTTTTGCTTATAGTTCTGAATTTCAAGCAAATTTGGATAAATTGAGAACAGATAATTCTTTTTCTGTTTGACACATACATTAAGACTATCAGGCTGTACTAGCTTTTTTCTCAATAGACTGTGCATCCAGGTTCCTCACTCTTATCAAATATTCTGCTATTAACATTCCATGTTGTTCTCCAATGTACTTTGGTATAATAGCTTCTCTTCTCTCTCTGGTTCGTAATTTCTTAGACATCAAGTTTTCAGACCATGGTGTATATATATAAAATAAAGGCTCTAATCTTAGACTGGTGAAGTATTTTTCAGAATATGGGGGAGCTTTGTCCGCAGAGCCCCCCCCGTCCGCCACGGATGAGAATAAGTCTACCAACACATGATCTGCTTGGGTAGGAAAGGTGGCCGATCTTTCACAGAAGGACCAAGAGCCTTTTCCTCAATGGGCTTTTATTGGGTTTGTTTACACAAGAATTCAGGTAAAGCTCATTAGTCATTGCCAGGCAGTAAGGATCAAACAATGGATAACAAAGAACTCCCAGGGCCTATTCTGAGTCAGGGTCAGATAGCTACAGAGCTGTAAAACTTTGAGGAACAAACTTACTTCTTGTTTGGACCCTTATTTAATTGAGAGCATTCTAAACAAAGCAGGTTTCATAGGATTTTACATATTCTTTCTTAGGCCTGATCACCCTGGGAACCTGCCCTTTCCAGCACAGGGCTGCACCACCCTGTCATTGTTTCAGGCTTAGGTGGAGCAAGGGAAGTAAGGTAGCCAAGAGATTTAGGAGATTTCTCACAGACAGGATGAGGACTCAAGCTTTGTCAAACCTGAGTGGTGAGGGTCCATCACCCCCTTTTGCTGTAGCCCCCAAAGTCCTTCCTTGGGGGACTCCCATGTGATTGTGCTTATCTTAGGTTGTCCCCCACTTTGGGGAATCTTACCCATCATTGGCTAACCGACCAAGCATTGGGGGCCAGGCAGGGTGAAGTAAAAGGAGTTGAAGCCGTGCTTCTGCCCGGGAGATAAGCTTTTGTCTTCTTGGTGGCTTAGGGTCCAAGGTCACTCCCTCAGCCTTAGCCTTGGTGGGGGTTACAGCTTCTGAAACCAGGCAGGGCGGTTCCCAACACCAGAATTTAAGAGACTTACAATGAACTCCTTAAAAACAGCAACTCTACTGTGCCAGGCCTGGCATATCTCAGGTACTCAATAATGTCAACTAAATACAGAGCAGTTTTTCCCAGTAGATTTTATACTACTAATAGAAGCACTTCAACAAATACTATCACTTTATTTATTTTTGTAAATATAAAAGTAAATCTGGTCTGGGTCCTAGTGAGGATCTCAATGATCTCCAACCTATGTCCATATAAAGGTATAAATTCAGGTAAGTATAATCCACAAGTTTATTTTTCTGTAACTCACTTTAAGTTCACTTGTGAATTACTTATTTCAAAGGGTTGGCAACACCACAATCTTCGCCAATTTCTGGTATCCCTTCTTCTCTCCCCCTGGGCTTGGATCTCAATTTGAGAATTTCTAGTATGGTGGCAAGTTTTTGGGTTGGAAGCTCCTGGTTCTTGTTGTCATCTGTCTACGTAGACCTCCAATGAGAAACTCAACATCCCAACTCAGTCATTAGTTCTCTCAGGGCTCTTGAGTTCAGAGTTCCCTTCTGCAAGCTCCCTTTCAGTGTGGAGTCTGACTTTCCTTTTCCAGGGCACTCTTGGGTATATGGGGATATTATTTTGCTCCCATTCCATGTTAGGGCATAGGAAACCTTTGGGAATCTGTGTAGTTCCCGTTCACCTACTCACACCAGGAATTTATAACCTGTTTCAGGGGCCTCCTGCCCTGCTGGGCTGATACATTCAGGAATTTGGGCATAGCTCCTCTCTGCTCTCAGATCTCACAAACTCATCTATGTAGCTTTCTGGCTTCTCAGGAATGCAACTGGGGAACATGGTTCAGACTCCCAGTCTCTGGGACAATGGAAATCTGTCCAGCCATTGCTTCCCTTCCTACTCTCCTACTACCCACAACTTGATTCTCCAGCACAGGAGCTAGGTTTTAGTTGTTTTTTTTTTTTTTTCTGCCACTAGAAAGCTATACTCTTACAAAAAATGTTTTGTCTTAATCTCTTGCTATGCCAGGAGTCTTTTTTGTTTCTGTAAAGCCAATACTTTTGCAATACCAAAGCCAGGGAGAGACTTGTTCCCCCCACCTATTTTTGTTGCTGTGGTCGTTGTCACGTTTTTTTCTTAAAGCAATAGGCTCAGAATGCCTAGATGCTTGTTGGTGTGGAGTGATGGGCAAAGCAACTGAGAGAATATTGAATGGGGGAGGCAATCTATTAATATTATCCCACTACACTTATCAGGAACAAACAGAAACAACAACAATAGGGCTCTTGGAGCAAATACTTCTCCCTCTGCCCAGATGAACCTATGCCCTTCGCCCTAATAAACAGTGCACGGTTTTGGCTCTGTCTCTTGCTGAACATGGTCAAGAAGACATCAGAAGTCAGGAGCCTTATTTTAAGGAAGCCAACCAACAATGGGGAAAATTGCTAGGGAGATTTGTCTCTTCACTAGAGATCAGTTCTGGAGTGGTTTTGAAGGTATGATTCTGTTACTCAGGTTGGATCTAGGAATGTGACAGTTTATGTAAAGCTGTTACTTCACTGTGAAAAATCTAGATGCTGTGAGAGAAACATTTAGTTTTTACACCCAGAAACCTGTATAACAGGAAGAACCACATTAATTTTGTGAGAAGGCAGAGACATTCTCAATTTAACTTTCAATTTAAAATATGTTGATATTAGTAATTATAAGAAAGCATAAACTATTTATAATTATTGCTTACACTTACCTAGTACTTACAATGTGTCTGATACTAAAATATCTAAATAATTCATTTAATCCTTATAAAAACTTTAAGATACATATAATATCCTAATTTACATACACAAAAACTCAGGCACAGAGGCTAAGTTCAAAGTCACAAGTTAGTATCTATAGAGATTGTATCAGAAACTCAGAATTCTGACGGTGTAGTCGAAGTGTTTCACTATGCTGCCTAGTTAATCATAATGATACCATGATAATAGTGGTTAGGAGATTAAGGCATAAAAACAATTCTTTGAATAATAATCTAAAGGCTGGTTTTAAGCTAGTAAAGCAAAATAAAAATGTTAATGTGAATTTATCATTTGATATTTGTGAGACAAAGTGTAAGTTACCAGCCTGTAACCTGTAAATGAGACTGGGTTAGAGGACAATTTATTTTGACTCTTATTTATTACGAGACACAGGGATGTGCTCAGCTATCCTTGATTCAGGAAACCACAACGAATAAACACAATGGAAATGAAGGACATCAACTCATAAGAAATTAACATTTTATATTAATTTTAATGTACTGGATTTAGAAAGGATCAGCATGAAGAGCTGATGATCTCAAATTACAATGAAAGGGACAAGGAAATGAAATTTGTTAACATTCTCTTATAAACATTCTCAGGGCCATTAGCATACTGTAACTCATTCACTCATTCAAAAATATTTCTTGAGCACGTTATGTGCCAAAAACTGTTAGAATTGCGGGGGATAGAGCAATGAAAAGAACAAAAGTTTTGTACTCGTGTAGTTTAATTTTAACGGGAGGAGAAATATGAAATAAACGAATAAACAATTAGAATACTACAGAATGCTAAGGAACATACTACTTTTCTCCACAATTAGACTTTAAATAAGGGAAAAGGGGATCACAATGCAGTTTTATCAGGAATCAAAACTCTTCTGGACTCTCAGCTCCAGCATCTGTCTGGAGCCTTTAGCTTAACCTCTATCACTTATACTGTTAACGTGAAGATCAAATTAAAACAAGGCAACAATAATGCGCAACTATTGAATAGCTTCCACCAGGCTGTGTTAAGCATTGTGCTGATTTACTTCTTTAATCCTTAAAATGAATTTCAGAGGTAAGCATTTTCATTCCTACTTTCCAGACAGGCAAACCGAGTTCAGAGAACAAGCCAAACACCAGTTAGAGGCTGAAATGGGATCCAAAGCTCTTCCACACCACGATGGTAGGAAAAGCGATGAATCAGAAGCAAAGAGTAGAAAAAGAACTGAGGCTGCAACTCCAGTGAAAGAGAAAAATACGGAGAACAGGCGGGTACGAAACGTAGAAACTGACGCACACCAACTCAAGAACGAGGCAACGCCGCGGGGGTAGGCGGTACCGGAAGTCGGGCTGCGGCTTCCGGACCCCACGCCGGAAGTGGCTCGTCAGCGCCCCGCAAGGTCTTCTCTGGAAGAGCTGCTGTGGAGTTTTAGCTACCAGGCGGCCACGAGGTACTCCGTACCTGCTTCCAAACGCGTCTGCAAAATGTCGTACCCATCCCCTAAATCTAAGCCCTCCAACCCCAGGAACCCCCGAGTCTTCTTTGACGTGGACATTGGAGGCGAGCGAGGTGAGCGGAGTCTGATACTCGGGAGAATGACTCCAAGGAGGCTGGGCTTCCCGGTATTCGGGGGACTCCGAGGGTAGGGTGCGGTGCGGTTCGGGCCGGGGGCTGCTCTTTGGAGCGGAGGGTATGGTCACTTGGACTGGGCCCTCTGAACATATCCAAGCATTCGGGGTTGGGTTGAGCCAGCGAGTTTGTAGAATGCCACCTATCGTGCAGAAGTTTCTGGAAATTTCTGGTGTGGGCGTTGTGGCAGCTTTTACGTTTGTCTCTCCAGATTTGTTTTTACCTCGCTGCCACCGTGCACCATCAGGTTGGCATAAAATAAGATTATTTTATGTTTTCAGCGGGACATTTAGGAGATCATGGGATCTGCGTCAGTGGGGTCCAGCCATGCCTTCTGTTTTGCCACACGTGCTATATCAGTAATTTTCATGTTGTTTATACATTAAAGCGACTTGCTTGTTGTTTGTACGTTATTATTGGATCTTAACTTAATGGTCCAGTCACATTGTTGACCAGTTTCTCTGTGTTGGCATTGGGAAAAAAGAATAAGACGTAGCGATGTGGTCGCCTAGGCTACGTTAGCCGCTCACAAGCGCCCTAAACTCGTGAATTAGCATATTGCTTCGTAACTGAACTGCGCTTGTTCTGGAATATGTTAGAATTGCTGGCCAGACTGTGTTTGAGTGTTATACCGACGGACACATCAGGATTCAGAGACCCTGTGGATCGTTTGGTCACTCACACACTCACACACACACTCTTTTAATATACATTTCAGTTTGTTTTGAAACCAGTACCAGGTTTATTTTTACCTCCCGCGGGAGTTATCTAGGACGGGAACTTTTCCAGCTTTTGTTTCCGAAGCTGCAGCAGGCAGGCATTCTTCACAGAGCACAAAGACTACAGCTATACTTAAAATTCAGCCAACCTGACCACACAAAGAATTATTAATTTTTTTCCTTTTGGTTAGTTGGTGACTGAAAGTGAGTACATGTTGAAGACATTATTCAGAATTTAAAACCATTTATACTTCATGGAGTCCCTTATATGGTGCTAATCTTTTAGCTACTGTATGATCTATTGTAGGATGTAGAAAAATAATTGTTTAAGATTTAACTAGGTGCTTGGCATCTAACATTAGACAGACTAAATTTGAATACTAGAAAAATGACAAAAAAGAACTTGGAATCGTAGTGGCTATAATTTTCCCGATTGTCTTTTTATCACTTGCTTATTTGATTGTTTTGCATACTGACACTATTTATTTTTTTAGTTGGTCGAATTGTCTTAGAATTGTTTGCGGATATTGTACCCAAGACTGCAGAAAATTTTCGTGCGTTGTGTACAGGAGAAAAAGGCATTGGACCCACCACTGGGAAACCTCTGCATTTCAAAGGATGCCCATTCCATCGAAGTACGTAAATTTTCTGAAACTGATTATTTTTATAGATCAGCGATTTTCAACTTTTCTATCTCATCACATCAACTACTAAAATTCTGTGGTATACCCCAAAATATATTTTTTTCTGGTCTGTCAACAAATACAGGGATAATTTTGATTCATTCACATTGGGTGGCTATTGTTGTGTTGGCTGTTGTCATTAATTTGACAATCTAAGGGAAAAGAAGTCAATTCCCCTGACTAAATAGTCAGGTATTGCATGTTTTAAAAGTTCTTGTGGCACAGTGTTTAAAAATTGCTGTTACAGATAATCAAATCCTGTCTTATAGAAGTTAGGGGGAAAAGCACTGTGAGGTGGAGATTAAAAATTACTGTTGGTTTCCAAGAGCATGCATTGACACTTGATGGAATAGCTCAGTTTCATTAAGTTTGGTCTGTGAAAGGTAGAGTTAATTATAGGAGAGTACTAAGGTTTGTTTGTGGAGAAATGGTCCACCCTCGCTTCACCAGTCCTCCAACTCTTCAATGTGATTAGATTGAGAAATAAGGGAGTGACCATGATAAAAAAGCAGACCTTTGATAACTGCCTGGTGATAAAAAAGTTTTATCTACTTCTGGGGCAGGATTGCTTGGGAAGAGTGTAGACTATTTAAAGGTTCACTGTCTTGGATATGTGATTAAAAGATGACATTTCACACAGCTTATCACACTTTCTAATCATACTTCTGTTTAGTGATTGTTTGATGGTTCCCCCAATAGACTGAAGGTTCCCGGAGCTCAGGAGTTATATCTTATTTTGTTCTTGCCATGTAGTATAGTCATTGAGCAGGTGCTTAGTATTTAATGAATAAACAAAAAAGCTAAACAATAATCATTTGAGTAGTTACATTTAATATGCTAATAAAGTGTATGTGGAAAAGAGTTAACATAGCAGACCTCCTACTGCCATCCTTAGAAAGGTCTGCTCACAAGAGTGGCCATGGGCTGAAATCTGGGAACTTGGAACTTCAACCGTCCCTGAAATCATAAAGGTGGTTTACTATACCTAGACTTGATTTTCTTTTGGGAGTCTGGAATTTGGTACATGCTAGGCAGAGGGTGTCTACATGATCATCCCCAATGAAAACCTTGGCTGCTGAGTCTCTAGTGGGCTTTCCTGTGCAGAAACATTGTACATATATTACTGTACTGTTTTTGTTGGGTGGAGAATGTACTCTGGTTCTGCAATAGTGATGCACAAGGAAACATGTGGATTGCTCTAGACTCTCTCTGTAATCTTTTCCTTTGTCATCCAGCTGAGTATCCTTACTGTGTTGCTGTAGTACAACCAAATGCTGAGTCCATGAACTATAGGGAATCTCTGAACATGGGAGTGACCTTGGGAACCTATGACACCAAGAGATGATTTTTGCTGAAATGCTTCCATTATGGTATAATAGATCTGGAAATTGTTGGTCTTTATTCAGGAATGACTAATATGTGCCCAGCCATGCACAGTTACAAGGATGAAAAACAAGTATACTTAGGGAGTTAATTGTTTGCTGGAAGAGAGAGATCATTATGATTTATGTTAAAATGGAGGTAGAGTCAAGCTACTGAGGGAGAAGAATTAGGAGATCCGACTTTGGGATGCCAGTGACAGTTGTACTGCAGTGGTGCCATTTGAACTAATATTCTGAGTATTAGTGGGGTATCAGGCAGTACAAGCAGTTTGGACTTAGATTGTGTAGTCTTGGAGAGTGACAGGACTAGATGTTTTAGGAAATTGTCTTTATTACCACATACTCATTAGTTAATATTGCTGAAGTCCTCTCTTAGTTTCTAAAAGCTATTTTTCTTTTTTGTAGTTATTAAGAAATTTATGATTCAAGGTGGAGACTTCTCAAATCAGAATGGGACAGGTGGAGAAAGTATTTATGGTGAAAAGTTTGAAGATGAGAATTTCTATTATAAGGTACAGTACACAAAGTGCATGTTATGATAACAAAGGGTGTTATGTGTGGACACTTGGGTTACGACACAATAAATGTCTCAAGTGGGCTTAGACCCTCTTTCTGAAAAGGTACCATATTGGTACATATGCATCTTTGATATGGAAAACTTTCATCTAGTACATGATTTAGCAAAAACACTACAGTTATTTTAGTGTGATCCAAGTTTACACACTTCAGTAAAGCTAATGAGTTTTTAAGTAGCCACAATATGGCAAAATTGCTTCCAGGAAAAATGTTCTCATTATCAGAAGAATGGTAACTTGTGCATCTTTATGCTTGAATTTGAAGAGCAACAAAACCATCGCTAATATCCAGGATGTCAGGGGATTTGCAGACTAGAGGATATGGTTAATGTACAAGCTCCTAAAGGACATTAGTGGTGCCTGTGCCTTCTTATCTTCATTGTCCCAAGATGTAATCGGGTTATATTGCATCATTCAAGTTATAAGAATGGACATGTAAGTACAAAAGTAAAGTGATGTCTTTGGAAATGAGGAATATGAACAAGGTAATCAAGATAACTTGAGAAGAAAATCTCATTAATTCATAAAGCAGTGTTCATGACTGCAGCTGTGTGTGTTCAATATTATCACTGGCACCAAATGGTTTGTAAAAATGAAAGGACATGATGGCAAGGGATTTGTAATTTTATTGGAAGACAGTAGTAAAACATGGGACAACTGGATGATACCTCTAATCTGAAAATAAATGCTAAATTGTTGGAAACTTTCTGTAGGCACTACAACAGAAGGGTAGGATTTATATGGGGAAGACATTGAGGAAGAATGGGTGTACATAAATTGGGCAAACTGGGCCTTGCAAGGTGGCTGAGATTTGGGTAGAGGGAAACTAAAACAGGATGCCAGTGTGAAGGAGGGATGTGAGTGAAGGAAGACAAAGGCAGTAGGAGGCTGAGGAAATAAAGTTAATATTCCATTTACGTTCATGGGGAAAGTACCAAATTTTTGGAAGGAAAAAAGGCAAGCTAACAGAAAGATGAAAACTAAGGTTATGTGATGATAATGTTGATCTAACGAAAGGAGGCCTGTTGAGGGGACACAGCAGTTCTTACCTTCCTTCTACAGTGCTGTAACCTTAAAGCCAAATTAGATTTATATTGGAGGGGTGAAAGGCATTTTAGTTAGTGTTTGGCCAGTAAGGAATAAATTTACAAACCTGAGGATAAGTGGAAAGATCAAACTGTTTCAACAGAGCCTTTGATACCAGGTTGGTGCCAGGAAGAACTTTGATTCCCATATGTACATGTGCAGTAGTTTCTTTTGGGTGTTCTCTGAAGAAATGATTTACCTGGGATGAAAGCCATACATTTTGGATTCTTTTGAAATTAGGGAAGAACCTAGTTAAATGGACAGACTAAATTGAATAACCTGTTGCTATTCCCAGGTTACTGAAGTGTAAAGGAAGAATCATAATGTAGGCCTATAAAATGGGAAGCCTGTTTAGTGCTTCTCAGGAAAAAAAAAAAAGCGTCCACCATAAAATAAAAAGGAAACGTCTAATTACTGTATTTCCTAATGCAGCATCTTCATCTTAAGGATGAAATATAAGAATTTTCTTAATATGGCCAATTTGGAAGTACACCTTCCAGTGTTGTTTCTGATTTCATAAGTTTTTTAAAGTTTAAAAAGTGATTAACCCTACATTTTGTGAATTAAAGGTTGCAATTTATGCAAAGTAAAATTACACAATATTGTTCAATCTAAATGGTATTACAGTCTACGTGTTTCATGTGAAGGAATAATTCAGACTAGAACCTCTAACCTTGGTTTTCTGTTAATGATTTTTATTTCTACAGCATGACCGGGAGGGTTTATTGAGCATGGCAAACGCAGGCAGCAATACAAATGGTTCTCAGTTCTTTATCACAACAGTTCCGACTCCTCATTTGGATGGGAAACATGTGGTATTTGGCCAATTAATTAAAGGAATGGGTGTGGCAAGAATTCTGGAAAATGTAGAAGTGAAAGGTGAAAAACCTGCTAAAGTAAGTACAAAGTTTATCTTATCTTAGTTGCTGATTAAAGAAATGTAAGTAAAAGGACCTGCTGATTATTAGCTGGAAAAACATAAGTATTTTTGGTATAGAAATTTGTATCTGCAACTTCTTTTAAATTCAAGAAAAGGTTAGGGGACTTAAAATTTTTTTATTATTTTAATTTTAATCTTGGTGATTTAAGTCTTCCTATACATGGAAAATTTTGAGTCAGTCTGTATACTAGTAAAGAGGACAGGAAATGAAGAATCTGTCTAGACTCTGATTTAATTGGTGGATTGGCTTTGATCTTACTAAACTTTTCTTGGCCTGTGATTCCTTATCCTGCATAAATTAAGGAATTTAATTATCCTGCATAATTTAATTATCCTCCATAAATTAATTATCCTGCATAATTAATCTAGTTTAGACTAGATTATGTAATTTAAAGGTCCTCTTGTTCCAAATATTTATAAATCAAAATAAAAATACTACTGCCCAACCCAATTGGTAGGGTTGTGAGAATTAGAAGTTCATATATCTGCAGAAGGTAGGCTGTCACTCAGTGTATGAAGGAAACAGTACATTGAAAGTTATGCCTCATCTAAAGAAAATTATATAGGAAATAAGATTTTCAACTTACTTTGTGTATACTGAGATGCTGAATAGCAATAAAATAATTTTTTAAAACAGTGATATTGTTCTGTTACTTGGAATGTTTATAAAGGGCACTCTTGTAATTAGAGCCGATATATAGATGAGCCTCCTAAAATCAGCCTGATCATTTTGGAAGTGACTGGGACCATGTTGCATATGACTTGTACCTGGATAGCTTTTAAATGCAGAGTTTTAAAAAATGTGTCATTAGTGATGGACTTCTACATAGTAGAAGTAAAGTAGTATAGTAAATAGTAGTGGACTTCTACAATTTAGGATTATTTTTACAGTCATGCGTTATTGCAGAATGTGGAGAACTGAAGGAAGGGGATGACTGGGGAATATTCCCAGAAGATGGTTCTGGTGACAAGCATCCAGATTTCCCTGAAGACGCAGATATAGATTTAAAAGATGTGAGTACTTTCAGATTAGTCACACTTGAATAAAATTACTAAAAACATTTTGTACTAAAATTTTGAGATTTTTGTGTTAATCTATGTTAGTGATAGAAGCTAGCATTAAACCACATTACTCACTAAAACCCAACATGTTTGTATTCTTTTATACAGGTAGATAAAATATTATTAATAACGGAAGACTTAAAAAACATTGGGAATACTTTTTTCAAATCCCAGAACTGGGAGATGGCCATTAAAAAATACACAAAGGTTTTAAGGTAATAAAGCATTTTTAATTACTTTTAAGAACTTGTAAATGGAATTATAAACTGAAATTCAGGAGTTGCTTATTGTATATTTGGTAAATTACTTGCAAAGCTACCAGATGTATTAGAATAACTGCATTTTTTTTGTTTCCTCTAGCTTCTTACTTTGAAAATTTTCCAAATACAGAAAAGTTGAAAGAATTGCACATGAATGAATGCTTGTGTACCTTAACCTACATTCACTGGTTCACTTTTGCTGTATTTGTTTTTGCAGAATCAGTTTTGAAAGGAAGTTGCAGATTCCATGACACTTTACCCCTAAATATTTTAGCAATTACATCCTAACAAACGGGACATTCTTCTACATAAACTTACTGCCATGAAAACACCCCAGATACCATCGATACAATGTTATCTAATATGTAATCCACATCAAATTTTCCCAATTGGTTGGTTGGGTTTTTTTTTTTTTAACTCCAGGGTTTTTTATATCATTTGCTTTTATGTCTCTAGTTTAATCTTTAATAAACCCTATTCCATAAGTTTTTTCAGTCATTTGCATTTTGGGGAGTCTTAAGTAGGATGTCCTGGAATACCATCTGTGTTTGATTGCTTCTTCAAGACTAGGGTAAGGATAAATATTTTGGCAAGAGGACTTAAGTAGGTGATGTGTACTTCCTATGATACCATATATTGATGGCACATGTCAGTTTGTCCTAATTTGCATTTTGGGTCTTGATTAGAGTGGTGTCAACTCGATGTCTGTGTTACAAAAGTGCCTTTTTCTCTTTGTAAATAATATGTACTCTGAGGTGATAGTGTGAGATTACATGCATATTCAGCTTCTTACCTTTCATCCAGTGGTTTTACATTATCGAAGATGTTTGCCTAAGTCAGTTATTACATTGATGGTTGCAGAACTGTGATTTTCTAATTTTATCACTCATTTTATAGTTACTAGCTGGCATGCTTCTTTTTGAAAGAGTCTCCCCTCTACCCACCTGTTTTTAGTATCCTATGGACCTGGGGATTTTTTTCCAGTTCAACCACTTAAAGTATTATCATCATCATTCTTTTTGGACCTCAGAGGGTTCCAGATTTTTCTAGTGGAAGCCCCTTTTTCTACATCCTTTTGACATGTTTCTCTTAGACTGTGGTCACTTGGCTTACTTTCTGGCATGAGCTGTTCCAGGCTTATGTTATACTTAACCTGTTTCCAGATCTGTTATCAGCGATCTCTCCAAGGAGCCTTGATGCTTTTCAGTGGGGGGGATAGACTTTAGAAAACATGGTTTCTGAGCCCATTTCGGTGCACTGAGCTCTAGGAACTGTGTTAAATGACAACCCAAAAACAGTTCTTCACCTTTCCCATTACATTCCCGGTCACACAAGGAGAACCTTGCTTTTAACATAGACCTGGTTTTTAAAAATAGAAAGTGTTAATAGTGTATAATTATCTTTAAACTTGGGTATTATTATTCTTAATTTGGCATGTTGGAACACTTTGGTAAAAAGTTTGGGACAAATAAAAAGGAAAAAGTATTGAGTCCTGGCCAGGCGGCTCAGTGGCTTGGAGCGTCATCTGAACATTAAAAGGTTGCAGGTTTGATCCCCTGTCAGGGCCCGTATGGGAGGCAATTGATGGATGTTTCTCTCACATTGATGTATGTTTCTCTCTATCCTTACAACCTCAGGTGAGGATTAAAAAAAAAAAGCAGTTGATGAAAAGATAGTGAACATTAAGAATATCAGTATCAGCATTTGATAAACCTTTTATATCAGGAATGGCATAACATTTTTTGGCATAGTTGAAGAAGCAGACTAAGTGTCATGTAGCATTACGTGTTACTTTTACTAATGTGTTTTCCAGATACGTGGAAGGTTCAAAGGCTGTAACTGAGGAAGCAGATAGATTGAAGCTGCAACCTGTAGCTTTAAGCTGCATGCTGAATATTGGTGCTTGCAAACTGAAGATGTCAAATTGGCAGGGAGCAATTGACAGTTGTTTGGAGGTAAGTCTGTGGATATTGAACTTTTTGACAGGGTTAGGTCATGACTTAGAACTTCAAAGGAAGGAGTTTTATGTACATTCATATATTGTGGCATAGGACCTAATGAGACTATAAAACACAATGTGTCATTTTATCTCTAAATATTTTGAATCTTCAGTTTTCCTCTTAATCCATTTACTTACTAGCTTATTATGCTGCTTAATATCTATGAAGATACTTTTCCTTTTTTTTCCCCCTCAAAGCACATGTATCAGCTCACTTACTCATTTAACATGTTGAATACCTAGTATGTGCTGGGCATTGGAAGACAAGGCCAGGAATGATGAAGAATGTGGGTGTGGAGTCAGTCATACATGTTTTGTTTTGTTTTTTTCTTAATTAGACCTCTGTCACTTACTAACTTTGTGATCTTGGGTAAGTTCCTAATTTTAGAAAGTCTTATTTTGTCAATGGAAGTAACACCTGCCTCATGGGATTGTTATGAGGACCTAAACATGTAAAGCATTTAGCACAGTGTGGGGCCCATGTTAAGCACCCAACAGGTATTTTAATTAAAAGACAAACCATACCCTCAAGGAACATTTTATTTGGCTCTCTTTATGGAGACATCCAGGAATACTAACTGTAAAAGCTAGAAAGGTGCTAGAATTACCTTCCTTAAATAGAGCAATGATGACTCCCTATTGTAGAATTGAAAAATTTCCAAACTAAACCATGAATTTTAAAAGACCACCCCCAGTAATTTTAACTGCACATTGAGCTATGTACATAGACCAGTTATGTCCAGAGCAAGTGGAAACAAAATGAGATCCTAATTTGGTGGGGTAGGTGGAGTAGGGATAAGAATATATTTAGAAAGATGCATACAGCAGAGGAAGAAATGTTACCAAAGGAAATGATTAGTCTTCACCAATATCTTGGATCTTTTTTACCTTTTTGAGGCAGATGATAACCTTTTTCAGTAAAATCTGAGTACTGACCTTTAAAAGATACTAAGTAAACAAAATACATTATTTTTAAAATATTGGTTTCAGAGGAGAGATCTATTAAAAATTATTCATGCTCCTAAAAAAACAACCTGGATTTCAAGTAAAAGAATGTATACAGGTTTTAAGTCAAAATGGCTTTCTCATCTAGGGCTGAATCAGGAAGTAAAAAGTACATGGTAATTTTGAATAGAGAAAGTTTAAAGTGAAAGAAAATATAAGAGGGAACTGGAATAATAAGTGATTGGCTAGTAAAGAGAATTCTAAAGTTATGGGAATGTCAGATATATATGCAAAATATAGGAGCTTATATATATAAGGTTATGGCTACATTCAGCTTAAGAAATGGTCCTGAACATCAAATTACATATATATAAGCTCCTATATATAAATATATCTTAGGCTGGGATGGAGCCCCTGGGAAGAAGTATCTCTCAAGATCCCTGAGACCCAGACCTCCTTGGAGAGGGGTTGGCTGTCACTCACTGGGTGGGGGAAGTATTCAGTGAGCACCATTTGTGGGATTCATTAGAGTGCTTGCAGCATTGCCTGTGGGGAGCTGCTGTGTGCTGTTGACCAAGCTGTGCTGGAACCTAATGAGAAGAGCATTCTGGAACCTGGAAGAGAAACAGCTTCCTCTTCCATGTCCACGTAGCTCCCTCTACTGACAAAACTTAACATTGTGCCAGCTGGCAGAGGAGAGATTTATAGGGTCCAGCTCCATACAAAGCAGAGAAGGCTTGATTTGCAACTGACAGGCAATAAATTGAAATCTAGCGCATATGTTTAATATTTGCTATATTTTTGTAGGCTCTTGAAATAGACCCGTCAAATACCAAAGCACTGTACCGTAGAGCTCAAGGATGGCAAGGATTGAAAGAATATGACCAAGCATTGGTAAAATTTTGTTTTAAATTTCAATTTTTAAAAAGACAACCATCTTCATAAATCATACACCTAATATTTCTTAAAAAATATTTTTCCATTTAAAGGCTGATCTTAAGAAAGCTCAGGAGATAGCACCAGAAGATAAAGGTAAGCTGGCACAGTTTTTGTAGTGGAAGTTCACTTAATCCTTTAAGAATTTATCCTCATGAAACATTGTACCCTTTGCCACTTAGATGCAGATACTTGTATTTCTTCCACAGATGTTCAGAATGCCTGTCATTGGGCCAGGCCCTGAAGAAGTCAGGGTCCCTGTCCTCAGAGAGCTTACATTTTAGTCCCTCTCCAGAATGCTGTATCATTTGAGATTTAGTTTCTCTTAGTTTAATTCTAGTCAAAAGTGCAGCACTAAAAGAATATTATGGTGAATTTGATGTTCAGGACCATTTCTTAAGCTGAATGTAGCCATAACCTAAATATTCTGGCTAACAAATTCACATTTTAGGAAAGCTTTGGGAAACTGACAAAAATAAGTTTGTCTTTCAAATACACCAACTACTAATAGTGCTATTAGAACCAGATATTAAAAGATATCTTTGGGGGGGGAGAAAATAGAACTATAATTGAACAACAATAAATAATTTAAATAAAAAAATATATCTTTGATTTCCTTAGTACTAAAGTAAGACAGGAGGCACTTAACTGCCATCTCTAACGAAGGAGGAAAAGGCAAATTTGTGTAGGTCAATTCAAATTCTCTCAATTGACAGTCTTCTAAAATTACGCTTTGTGATTTTTGTATTTGTGTTTACTTTCCCAGTGTAAGATATTCTGTTAATAGGGCAAGAAGAGTTTTATCAAGGGGGAAGTAACTGTCATACTAAAGCATCACTATGTTAGTCAGCCTCATTTTTTGGATGTTTGAAAAATAGCTCATATTACATACTTATTTTGCAGCTATCCAGGCAGAACTGCTGAAAGTCAAACAAAAGATAAAGGCGCAGAAAGAAAAAGAGAAGGCAGCATATGCAAAAATGTTTGCTTAATAAGGAATTTGGTTATACTTAAGTATTACACATTGATGTATAAAGGCAATAAAGAAAATTGAAGGGTTTTTGTCTAATATATGTTGCTTAATGTGTTTGCCCTGATAGTTCCCATTGTTTACAGTTTAGAAATACTGGTATCTCTTTACTCTTAATAAAAGTGTTACAAACTACAGTGAAGTCGATTTTTTTTTCATGGCTACCTACATTATTCACAAATAATTGTGTTCAACCTATTTTTAAACTAAAGATACATCTTTGTTGAATAAACAGGCAAAAGCTTAAGTTTTTTATATGATTTCCCTCAATTCTGTAATGTAGCTTTTTGCACACTGTGGTTGGTTTGTGCTCGTGTTTGATACTTACAGGTCATACAGATACATATGTATGTGTTCAGGGGTCAGCAAGCTTTCTAAAGGGCCAGATTACTAAATTTTTGGGACCATTGTATTCTGTAACAACTGATTTTTGCAGTTGTAGCCACAGATAATATGTAAACCAATGGGCATGCCATGCCTACATTCCAGTAAAACTAAGAAAAGTGGTGGGCTGGATGCCAACCTCTGGTCTATAATATGCATTTATTGTATTTGAAGAGTTGAATTTGATGAGTCCAAATATACATTAAGGGTCAACAGTTTATTCCGCTGTTGGTACTGAATCATTGAAGAGAAGAGTTAAGTAGATGCTATGTCACTTGTAAAGTTTTATTTAAGACAAATATTGATAATTTTTTATACGACAATTTTTAAGCATATAAAATTTCTATTTGCCTGATACTTTATGAACATTATCATCAATAATATGCTGAGAGATATTTTGACACTTGTTAATTCTCAACATTTTAGAGAAAGCAGTTATCAGACTTGCCTGCAAATGAAATTGGTTGCAGTTTACATTCCATTGTAAGCAGGTCCTCCACCACCTTCGGGTACCACCCAGTTAATATTCTGACTTGGATCTTTAATATCACATGTTTTACAATGCACACAGTTCTGAGCATTTATCTGTAACCGAAATCCATCACTTTGTTCCAAAGGGACAAATTCATAAACTCCTGTAAGGAGAAATAAAACAATATTGTGAAGTACCTTTTTTAACTTTCAAAATTCAAAAATAGAAATGAAGTCCAAAAAAGAGTAGCTACAGACACTGTAAAGGTTTGTTTTTTAAATGTTTATCCATAGAGCGTTATTACAAAAATCTTGGTTGCTTTTGAGTTACAATTTTATACGTGTGTGTGTAAATAAAATGTGCTATATGATGCTATAGCTGAAAAGACAAAATAGATCTAGTCCTTACCCTCACCTGGTATAATGATAGAAATGATTAAAATCAAAAGACTGTCAAAAGTTGTTGCCCTTGATTTTTCTAGTATTTCTCCACAGTGTACTAAGTTTTTACATACCTAAATACTATTTTACTTTATCATTTGATACCCAGTTACTGTTTTGTAATTCTTGTTGAAAACTCAGCACTAAGAGATACAGTATTCATGATGAATTTGAAGTTTGGGCCACTTTCTTGAGCTGGATATGGCTATCACCAGTATTAAGCATCTGTACACACATACTGTGGTGTTTGGAGTGAGCAGCCATGACAAACGATGGTGTCTCGTGTTCATAATCTTTATTTTGGTCCAGGGGTAGACATGCAAGGGATTTTTTTGAGAAATCTATTAGGCTTCACAAAAAAATCTCTATTATTTTAACATTGCTAGAGTAAGAGCCATAAGACAGTATTTCCTAAGAAATGGGACTGTATTTCTCATGTTTAAGCAAATATTTGTATTTTAGGACGGAAGGGAAATCACAGCACTGACCTGCAGGGCAGAATCGCTGCTCGGGTCCATCGTATATTGCCAAATTCCTATTTACAGGTATACTGTCATCCTTCAAGGTTAAATGTGCTGGCTGATCATGTTCATGATTAGTACCACTCAGAGCCACAGATGACAAAAGATCAAAACTAATCTGCCCATCAGGTTTCGGGTATTCAATAGGCGTGCAGTCCTTGGCTGGCTTAAGCTGATCAGAGTCAGAACCTTGGAAAGTTTTGTGGAAGATTTTAAATAAAAATTCAATAATTTTAAAGTAAACAATAAAAACTTGAAAACAACAAACAAAATTTTACTTTTATAATAATGATTGCTGTTGTCTTAAAGATACTGAATTTGTTATTAATAAAGCAAGTTTAAAACATTAAAAAAATTCACTACTTAATGCATCCCATTCATGAGTTTTCAATGTAACATTCATATTCTCAAATATGTTAGAATTACCTCTGTGTTTTAGAGTCCATGGCTCCATTCCTCTAAGTATCCAGTAGAAGATGCCAGTGTAAATCATCCCTCCATATACACCCAGGATTCCATGGCAGGAGGGTCTTATATTTCGAACACTATATAGCTCTTTCCACACCCATGATTTCTTCAAATTGTCTTCATACTCAGTTACATGGAGTCCTTTTATTAAAAAATGAAATATTAAATGTGAAGTTGCCTCAAGGAGTATAAAATACTTTGTCAAGGTATTTTGCTACTGAAATGCCTGATGAGTGAATCTTAAAAAACAGGTCGTCATATAAGATATCACATGAAGAATGTTTCATGTATAAATGTTGGCATCTTGCAAAAAGATAACTTTTAATGTATTTTGTTAACAAACAGGCATTTGATTTCTTATAGTGGTCACATGGAAAATGAAGTTTCAAAATTTAGTGAACCAGAAATAAGAAGCATAAGAATTTATGCTACCTATAAAAGTAAAAAAAAAGTTGATCAAGGAAACATACTGATCAACATATGGGTTGAACTATGTCCCCACAAAAAAATACTGAGGGGTGAGGACTTCTTGTCCACTACAGCAGAAGGGTCATATTCATATATGCCTCTGCTTGTCAGGCCTGCCAGGACATGGTGTTGCTGGATTCTGTGGTTTCCACAGCTCTTCTGTTTCCAGACATGACCCTTAAGTATTTGTGAGATAACTTGGTGTGTATATTACATGTATGTAATGTAATGCAGTAAGTCCAACTTGAAATCACTTTTAAATAGGTGGGGCACCACTGGTAGTATTTCACTTTTGATGTCAATAAACAGAACATGGCTGTAAAAATCTGACTAATTATGGGAATAGGTCATTCAGTTTTCTTTGCACTGCACACATTAATGCTTTGTGTAAAGGGACATACACTATGTATCTTTTAACATCAATTGAAATATACATTAATAACATCTCAAGACTTCTGGTCAAGATGGAGGCATAGGTAAACATGGCTTACCTTATTGCATAGCCACAGCAAAAGTTACTACTAAACTAGAAAACAATTATCACCCAGAATCGCCAGAAAATTGAGCTGTATGAAGTCTGACAACAAAAGAATGAAGTCACATTCATCCATTTGGGCAGGAGGGATGGAGATGCAAAATAGGCATTCCTACACCCATGTGTGGTGGATAAAAATCAGGAGGGATACCTCAGGAGCAAGGGATCCCAGCCCCACACCAGACCACCCAGCCCAGGGTTCTAGTACCAGAAAGATAAGTCCCCGTAACTTCTGGCTGTAAAAACCAGTGGCAGGTAGAGTGGTGGAAGAAACAGTTGGATTCTCAGGCGTTTCCTCTTAAAGGGCCTGCCATGGACTTAGGACTTACCCACACTCCCTCTGGGCTCCATCACTGGGGCAGCTGGCAGAATACCAGTGGCATACAAGGAGCAACTGAAATTTCTGCATCAGGGCAAGTATTGGGGGGCAGCATCCTCCCAGACAAAACTCCAGAGGCCAGTGTCCAGAGTCCCCTTTCTGAGCCCTCCCACACACAGAGCCACAGAACAGAGACTCCATCAACCTGGTGCACCCTGCCCTGGTGATTACCTAAGGCTCTGCACCATCCAACTTATCAGTGCATTTTTCTTTTACAATAGGCCATGCTACTAAGACATGGGGTCAAAGCAGCTCTACCTAATACATAGATATGAACACAGGGAGGCTGCCAAATGAAAGAATAAAACTCCAGAAAAATAACTAAACAATATGGAGATAGGCAATCTATCAGATGCAGAGTTAAAACACTGGTTATTAGGATGCTCAAGGAACTCACTGGGTACTTCAACAGCATAAAAGAGACCCGGGCAGAAATGAAGTTTACACTAAGTGAAATAAAGAAAAATTTATAGGGAACCAACAGTGGAGTGGATGAAGCTGATAATCAAACCAATGATTCAGAACATAAGGAAGAAAAAAACATTCAACCAGAAGAGCAAGAAGAAAAAAGAATCCCCCCAAATAAGGATAGGCTAAGGAGCCTTTGGGACAACTTCAAACATATCAACATTCAAAACCAGAAGTACCAGGAGAAGAGAAAGCAAGAAATTCAAAACTTATTTGAGAAAATAATGAAAGAAAACTTCCTTAATCTGTGGAGGAAATAGACATACAAGTCCAGGAAGCAGAGAGAGTCCCAAACAAGATGGACACCAAGGGGAACACACCAAGACACATCATAATTAAAATGCCAAAGATTAAAGATAAAGAATCTTAAAAGCAGCATGAGAAAAGCCGTTAGTTACCTACAAAGGAGTTCCCATAAAACTTTCAGCTGATTTCTCAAAAGAAATTTTGCAGGCTAGAAGAGACTGATAAGAAGTATTCAAACTGATGAAAAAAGCAAGGACCTGCAACCTAGATTACTGTATCCAGAAAAACTATCAATTAGAATCAAAGTACAGAAAAAGTGCTTCCCAGACAAGGTAAAGCTAAAGGAGTTCATCATCACCAAGCCATTGGTATATGAAACTTTAAAGGGACTTATTTAAGAAAATGAAGATCAAAACTATGAACATCAAAATGTCAGTAAATTCACAACTTTTAACAACTGAATCTGAAAAACAAACTAAAGCAAACAAGCAGAACAGGAACAGAGTCAGGTATGGAGATCATCTGGAGGGTTATCATTTGGGAGGGGGAAGGAAGATAATTGGGGGAAAGGTGCAGGGATTAAGAAGTACAAATTGGTAGGTATGAAACAGACAGGGGGCTGTTAAGAACAGTATAGGAAATGGAGTAGCCAAAGAACTTATGTGCATGACCCATGAGCATGAGCTAAATAGGGGATGGGGATGTGGGGGATTGCCAGAAGGAATGGAGAGGTCCGGGTGGAGGCAGGGAGAGGAG